CGGTGACACACTCCTTAAAATACCACAATACTAATCTACCTAGCGGCCGCGAAGTTACTATGATCGTACCAGAGACATCGTACCTCATGCTTGATTATGAAGTGGTTGGTGGGACCATCAGAAAGTGTCATCTGCAAAGATTTAGTTGAAAACCCCTGCAAATGACACTTCAGACAACTCAAAGTTGTAAAAATTATTGGCTTGAAAAATGTTTGAACCTCTGGCTGAGAATTTATATATAACCCTCTTGAAGGTCACGTCAGACGGCTAGGCTACTGCTAAGGAGATGTCAGACACTCTCTTATGCAAAACGGCTTTCTGTCGATGGTCGAATATAATAAATTTTAAAAATATATTGTAGTACTCGATGTTTATAGACCAAATATCATGGGTCCACTTAAATCAGCCATACTCAACTTTTTTTCCTTCGGGCCAATACGTATGTTTAATATGTTACACGGGCAGCTGGATGATGACCCTTTATTTACGGCATTCATTTAAAATTAGTTAGTGGGAACCTCTAACAAATAAAACACAAAACATAAATATATCCCATCGGGTTACTGCAAAACAAGATAACTCGCATTTTTAGAGTTTCGAGAAAACGCTGTTCAAAAGTTTAAAATTGGATAAAAAATCAGTAAAAGCTTCAAATTTTTTAATAAACAATAACTCCAATGAAAAAGGGTATGCAAAAAATAATTGGTCTTTACAAAATATAACAAACAAAAAAAAGAGAAAAAACTTCACTTAGCTTATTTTAGCTATCTACATACAGCAGTGGGATTCTCATCTTTCGATACGACAAGTATCAAAACGCCTATCTTCACTCGACAGACTTTAATTCTTATGTCTCTCTTTGTTCAATAAGAACCGTGTAGAGTTCGCACATAAAGATCCATGTGCAGTGTGCAGGTCATAATATATTCAATGTCTGTATCACTATCTTCTGTGGAAGGTTCGGGAACTGTGTCTTTAATATTATTGAATACAGGTAGATTGTGTAATAATAATGGTGAAATTCAGCAGGTGTAACACCTGATTTGCAAAGTTTAAGTAAATCTTTCTTCTTAGCATTACTAATGTCTTGCACTTTTTTGTAAGTATTTCAGAGCTTTCACCCTTTCAGACATCCCTCTGCCGGTATGGCTTGGGTTTTTCAAGCAATGCAAAAAGCTGGTGTTTCGGTGATTTAGGAAGCGGCCATTTTAACCCGTAAACAATATGGAGACGTGCGTCAGCATCCCGTTCGTTACGGCTTGATCAATCACTCGTTACAGCTTAACCAATCAATCATTCACCACGGCGATTCGGGCATCACGTGTTATCATCTATTGATTTTTGATAGTTAGCTGTATCATGGAAAGAAAGGGTGACGTAATCACATTGTCGATTTCGGACCAATCGAGAGAGGCCAGAGATGGCTCTAGGCAAAACAAATGGCTTGGGCAAAATGTTGAAGTATTTAAACAAATACATTCAACAAAAATACAATGTTTTGGCAGAAACACTAGGAATTAGATTAAATACATTTAGCAAAAATAAATTATATGTCTCTTATCTGGTTTTGGTAGACACGCTATTACCAATTGAACACAACATTATGATTATATTTCGATATAAATGCTACTCATCTTGTTTTTGCATAATATTGTGAATGTATTATTGTAGAGTTAGTTTTTATTGACCATCTGTTTATCACGAATATAGACTTCATTCACACTTGTCTTGTTTATGCTGTATAATATTGGAACTATTTTGGAGACGAATGTATACTTAACTCAAAAATGAAGCTATCTTGATTTTGAAGTAACCCCATGATTCAAACATTTATTTTAAAATTAGCGTTATATTAGCAGCGAGCGAAGAATGTTTTCGCTCGTTTCGCTCAAGTTTTTAAAAACAGAAACCAATAGTTTTAAAAAGCACCTTCCTAATAATATTGTTTCGGGCCATAAAGAAAAGCTTGGAGGGCCGCATGAGGCTCACGGGCCGCAAGTTGAGTATGGCTCATTTAAATTATATGCCCCCGGCCAGATCCGGCCCTATACCAGCTTCAATCCGGCCCTCGAGAGATTTAGGAAATTCAAATAATGCGCAAAAAAATTATAGAGTTACCACACACAGTTTATTTGTAATTGTATTAAGCGTACTCAGTGAAACGCCACATATCGTATCAGAAATATTTGTTAGGCAGAAACATTCGGGAAGTCGCCCTATGCGCTTAAAGCTCTCGCGTACGATCGAGAGTATTCTAGTTGTTTATTGGAGGTAAAATAAAAACCGCTCAGCGTGCGTCACCTCATTACTTCTTAACAACTTATAAAGTTCGCATCGCATATTCACGTACAATCGAGAGTACGACGTAGGACATATTCAAGTAAAAACATGTCTGGTTCAAAAAAGCGGAAAGTGGACACAGAATGTCGTCAAATAAAACATTTTTGTTTTTTAATAATACAATATGAATCGGCATTACTCCAGCAGGCAGTTTGCTCAATATAATTTAGTCATGGATCAGTTAACAAAATATTATTTAATTAAAAAACTCATAACCGATTTAGGGAAACAGCAACAAATGTTTCATTCACAAAGATCAAATCTAGACAGTGTTGTTAAGGCTAGTTTTATCACCGGCCGACATGATTTTCCTTGTTCAAGATATTACTAATTTTTTCCACCAATTTTGTAGTGCTGATTACACGAATTCGGACGTAATTTTATCGTATCACATCAGGTTTTCAGTAAACTTGATATCTTGGCTATTTTATATTTTTTAATAAAAAGAAATTAAATTATTGAGTTTTGGCGCTCTTTCCTTGAATAGTGCGACCTCTCGTGGGAGAATATATCAGCTGCAACCGCAACATACTCATTTGATACGCGTCACATGAAAATAAGCCATCACAGTTATTTTGATAAAATTGGATATAAAGAACATGGTTGGCAGCTTTGTGGAGATCTGAAGATTATAACTATGTTGTTGGGCCAACAGTCAGGATACACAAAATATCCTTGTTTTTTTATGTAAGTGGGATAGTAGAGCACGAGACAAGCCTACATACAAAAACAATGGAATCCTCGTGAAAATCTTAAACCTGGAACCAAAAATGTTATACGAAAAAATTTAATTGATCCTAAAAAAAAATTATTACCTTCACTTCATATTAAACTCGGAATGATGAAACAATTCGTTAAGGCATTGGATAAAGAAAATGCTAGTTTTCAATACTTGTGTCAAAAATTCCCAAGATTATGTGATGCAAAAATAAAAGAAGGAGTGTTCGATGGACCACAAATTAGATCTTTAATGACTGAAGAAAGATTCGATACAACAATGAATACTACTGAATTAGAAGCTTGGCTGGCGTTTAAAGATGTTGTCAATAATTTTTTAGGAAATCACAAACACTCTGATTATAAAAATATTGTTGCAAACTTATTGGATAAGTATCAAAAATTGGGCTGTAATATGAGTATAAAACTTCACTTTTTAGATTAACATTTAGATTTTTTCCTGATAATCTTAGTGATTATAGTGAAGAACAGGGAGAAAGGTTCCACCAAGACATAAAAACTATGGAAACAAGATATTAAGGTCGATGGAATGTGAATATGATGGCTGATTACTGCTGGTCACTGAAACGCGATATTACTGATGATATTCACAAAAAAATTACACCCAGACGTAATTTTATGCCTTAACGTAAGAGATACCACTCAAAATAATTCTGTTGTAATGATTTTTATTGATATTTTCTAAATAAGTGTTTAAATATATTTATTTGTAACATAATAATTGATTTTTTCTTAAAATTTCGAAAAAAAAAAAACGATTTTTCGCTTTTGTAAAAAAACCTGATGTGATAGAGTATATCTGTATGTATTTTTATGATAAGAATGCTAAGAATTAATGAAATTTTTTACTCAAATAGAAACAATGTTCCAAAAATTTTCATTTGTCGACCGGTGAATTACTTCCAAAATAGCGAAAACATCGGACGGTTTGTTAAAGAGGGCCTAGTAGACGCTGCAGAACTTTTGTGCTTAGAAGTGAAGAAAGAGTGTGAGAAAGTGAGCTTATCGCGACGTACGTTGTTCGACGTATAGGTATGATGGCTAGTGATATCAAAAAAACATTGATACATTAGATGGTTTTCAAACATTTTCGATTGCTTCGGATGAGAGTACAGATTTATCTGACACAGCCCAGTTAGCTATTTTTATACGAGGTGTTGATGAAGAAGGTACAGTGACAGAGGAATTACTGGCTTTACGACCGCTACAAGGGACCACCACTACTGGAAAATATATTTTTGTCGAGGTGCAAAGTACTTTTGAGCAATATGGTTTGCAGTGGTGTAAATTACTTGGAGTGTGCAAGGATGGTGCGCCTTCCATGGTCAGCTCACGAAAAGGTTTTTGCGGAATTCTGAAGGAAACAGTAACCGCTATAAATGTGAAAGAATGTGATTTAATAATTCTGCATTGCATTATTCACTAACAAAACTTGTGCTCTAAATACTTTCGATTAAAGAATGTTATGGATGTGGTAGCAAATACCATTAATTTCATTAGATCCCGCGGTCCTAACCATCGCTTTCTTTCTTTCTTTCTTTAGAACACTATGATGTGACATATTATTGCGAAGTAAGGTGGCTAAGAAAAGGTAAAATTCTAAAATGATTCTATTACCTTAGAAAAGAAATAGCTGATTTTATGGAAATGAAAGAGAAAACATTGGCTTTGTGACTTGGCATTCCTGGTAAACATCAGAGGACACTTAAACGACCTGAACTTGAAGCTTCGAAAACAAGGGCAATTGGTAAATCACATATACAGTCAAAGAAATTCGCTTGTGGAAAAAACAAATGAGAAATAAAAACTGTTTTCATATTACAACATTATCCAGTCACGAAAACATTGAATACTGTCGTTATGCTGAAGAATTGAAACTACTGTCCCAGCAATTTACTGATCGATTTTCCGATTTTAGGAATATGGATAGCACTTTCAATATTTTTGTAAATCCTTGTAAGTGTAATGTGAAAGATGATCCACTTCATCTACAAATGGAGTTGATCAAACTTCAAGAAGATTCATATTTGAAGTCTAAATTTGATGATGTGGAACTAAGCGAATTCTACAGAACATGCCTTTCCAAAGAAAAGTATCCGCAGCTGTGAGTTTTCGCACGAAAAATAATTTGCAGATTTGGAAGCACGTATAAATGTGAGCAGATTTTTTCAGTCAAGAAAATTAATAAAAATAAGCATCGTACTCGGCTTACAGATGATAATTTAGAAAACACTTTGCGCCTATGTACTACTAATATTGACCCCGATATTGATAATCTTATTTCTCAGCTTTAAACTCGTCTCTCATTAATTTTCATTTGATTTTTCGCTGTTTTTTATATTTCAATTCGTGTTATAGACGCGCAAACAAGTTTAAAATAAAAATGAAATCGATTTGAAAAATACATATTTTAAAAATATTTTTGTGTTTTTGCCCGGCAAATAAAAATGTATGTTTTTTAAACAGAACACCCTGTATTTTGTTTTATTTTTAGAATAGTTTGGTAATACTGTATTTAATCCTAGAAGGTTTTAAAAAAATATTACAGTTTTGCCAAACAATTAATTTTTTTTGAAAGAAGAGAATGATGCAGACCCCAAATTAAATTATCATAATTTAGGTAGATTTACATTGATTTCAAAATTGTTTAATATACAGACTTATAAGATACTAAACTAACGAATACTGATGATAGAACTGGTTTAATATTTTATACAAAGTCTTTTGAAACATGTCTTAAATATGGCTAATTTTAGGTTAAATTTACTCAATTTTTTCAAATTCATATTATCTTATCATAAAATTCCTTATAAATTTGCCTATGCAACGATACCAATATGTTAACCAATAACACATATACAGGGTGTAATATATGGTATGTATTATCACTAAAATATGCCTAAGCGGTTGGCAACAATGTCAATTATGATAGGAGGAAATAAAGACAAGAGGACACTTCTCGTCGAACCGCTGAGCTGTATGTCGTTGTTTTATTTACGAACGTAACCTATCACATCACATGGTGCCGAAACCAGTATTCTGCGGAATTTAAACAAAAAATATCAACGGAAACACGGAGAAACAAAATAAACAGGCAAATAAATCGAAGAATTATACGAAAAAGTTGGAAATTACCAGAATTTATCGAAATCAACAAAATCAAACATGGAAAAATCAACAATACCGTCAATGCAAATAAATGGCAACATTTATGAAAATTGGAGGTTCTTCATACAGCGTTTCAGAAACTACATGTAAGCGGTAGAATTAATTAAAAAACCAGAACCCACCCAATGTTCTCAATTATTGCACATTATTGGGGAAGATTGTTTTCGCAACTACAACACTTTTAAGTTTAATGAAAATGAAAAAAACAAAATAGAGCCACTCATTAAGAAATTTTAAGAATATTTCAAACCAAAAAGCAACATATCCAATGTCAGGTACAAGATGTTTACACGAAAACAAATGCCGAATGAACGTGTAGCAAATTTTATAACTGATATGATAAATTTAGCCAAACAGTGCAACTTAGGGGACCTAGAGGACAGCCTGGTAACAACATGAATTACTTGTGGTGTATCAGATGATAAGATACGTCAACGACTCCTAGAAGACAATATTGAATTAGACAAAGCTATATCAACAGTCCGAGGAAATGGAGACAGACAAAATTGAAATAAACTATATGAGAAAGAATAATGATAGAGCTTGCTCCAGCCGCAACAACTCAAGGAATCCAGATACAAACGTTTATGGAGCTTGCCAACCTAGCAACGAAGAACACAGGCGAAGAAAAAGTTACAACCCCGAGATGCTACCGATGTGGCCAGGATCACCGTGGACAAAGCTGCAGAGCAATAAAAGTGTCATTTTTGTAGTAAAATAGGGCATTACTCAAATGTGTGCATGCAGAAAAGAATCAATTTAATAGAAAAGTTAGACACTGAATCAGATACAGAATTATTTCTTGGCATGATTAATAATTCATCTGAAATGCTAGATGATGATGATTTCAAAATCAATTTTGTAGTTAATAGTAATGTTTTAAATTGTCACTTGGACACTGGTGCTATGGCAAATGTAATTTCGCTGAAAATGCTTAACTATCTAGATTCGAATGTACATTTAGAAAAAACAGACTGTAAATTAACCACATTTTCTAATGAAAAACTAAAAGTTCTAGATAAATGCAGTTTGAAATGTATGTATCATGAAAACAACCATAACTTTAACTTTTATGTAGTAGATGTTAATGCTCCAACTGTAATAGGTTTGCCAACTTGTAAACGATTAAATATTTTTAAAAGAATCTATCAAATAGAAAAGGTCGATGAACAAGAAATTAAGTTTAAAAGTGATTATAGTTATTTAAAGGTAATCTATTCTGAATTGTTCACAGGCATCGGCTGCTTGGATGAACCATATACAATACAACTAAATGAATCTGCAAGCTCGGTAGTACACCCTCCAAGGAAAATCCCATTGGCACTAAAAGAGAGCCTTAAGAAGGAACTAGATGACATGGAAAATAATGAAATTATAACAAAAATGGACAAGCCAATGGATTGGGTCAATTCACTGGTAATGGTAAAAAAAACATAAAAATAATTCAATTAGAATTTGCTTAGATCCAAGAGACTTGAACAAGGCTGTTAAACGGGAGCATTACCAATTACCCACTATTGAGGAAATAGGCCCTAGTTTAAGTGGCAATGAATTTTTCAGTAAATTAGATGCATCAAAGGCATTTTGGAGTATAAAATAAGACAAGAAAAGTAGTGATTATGCACATTCAATATATGTTTTGAAAGGTATAAATTTTTACGTTTACCATATGGGTTAAATTCAGCTCCTGAAGTTTTTCATAAGAGATTTAAAAACATTTTTAACTTGGAAGGTGTACAAACATATATAGATGATATAATCGTTTATGGTTCATCAAAGCAAGAACACGATAAAAGGCTTTCAAAAGTTTTAGAGTTAGCAAAACAAAAGAATATAAAGTTCAACTTTGATAAATGTCAATTTGGGGTGAAAAGTCTTTAACGAATTGGGTCAAACAACTGACAAAGATAAAGTAGTAAAAGCTAATACAGAAATGAAAAACCAGAAAACAAAAAAGATGTTCAGCGATTATTAGGAATGTTAACATATTTATCAAAACATATAAATAATGCATCTGACTTAACTATTCCTCTAAGAGAGCTTATTAAAAATGATGTTTGTTGGCACTGGACTGAGAGACATGATGAATGTCTAGCTAAAATCAAAGCAGTTATTTCAAGTACAACTGTTCTTAAATATTTTAATAGTAACGGAAAAAGCACAATTTCTGTAGATTGCTCTAAGGATTCAATTGGTGGTGTGTTATTACAGTCTGAACGACAAGTTGCATATATGTCAAAAGCACTAACTTTAACTCAACATAACTACGCTCAAATAGAGAAAGAATTACTTGGAATCTTGGTGGCATGTGAAAAATTCCACAATTATGTATATGGCACAACATTTGACATAGAAACTGACCATAAGCCGTTAATTTCTATCATAAGAAAGCCATTATTGAACACGCCGCCAAGACTTTAACGTATGTTATTTAAATTGCAGAAATATGACTTCAATCTTTATTACAAAAAAAGGTAAAGAGCTGTATATAGCAGATACATTATCCAGATGCAGTAGTGAGAAACCAGATTTAAAATAAAATCTGGACTTTGATTTAGATTCACAAATTTGTCTAATAAAACTTTCATTTAATGTAACTGAAGATCAAATAGAAAGAATTAGAAAAGAAACGAAAAATGACAAAGAACTGGATTGAGGATATTCCTAAGAACTGGTTGGCCTACTATTGACAGGTTGACTAATACTCAAAAAAATTTCTATAAAATAAAAGATGAACTTTGTTATTCTGAGGGTATATTCTTAAGAAATAATAGAATTGTTATACCTAGGACAATTTATAATAAAATATTATCTAGAATTCATTATGGCCATCAAGGTATGGTAAAATGTAAATCTTTAGCAAGACAATCATTATATTGGCCATCCATTACAGTACATATTGATAACATGATAAAAAATTGCACAACTTGCTCTAAGTTTTCAAATTTTCACAGAGAGTCCTTAATGCCTCATAATACTCCAAATTTACCTTGGAAAGAAGTAGGATCAGATTTGTTTTTTATAGGCAACGACTCTTACCTAATAGTTATTGATTACTACAGTAAATTTCCAGAAATATGCTTGTTGAAAGATACTACCAGCCAAACAGTAATTAGTAATTTAAAGTCAATATTTGCTCGTCATGGCATCCCAAAGATTTTTTACTCGGATGGCGGTACACAGTATACATCTTACGAATTTTAAACTTTTTGTAGGGAGTGGGAAATTAAAAGTATAAAATCTAGCCCAGAGAACCACAGATCAAATAGATTGAGTGAGAGATACATTCAAACATAAAAAAACACTTCAAAAATCTTTTAGCGATCACAAAGATATCTACCTAACATTACTGCAACTCAGAAATACTCCCATTGATAACAATAGGCCTTCTCCTACTCAACTTTTGATGTCGAGGGTTCTCAGATCTAACATCCCCGCCTCTGAAAAACTACTTAAACCCACATTTTAAACTATCATGAAAAAATTAAAAACATTCAAAAACAATATTTAAACAAACTCCCTTAAAACAAAATCAAAAGGTCTATATAAGGGACAGTCGGGGAGTTCGAACTGGTGTTATCACTAATCAAATTAGAAATAGGACCTACTCTGTAAAACTTGACAATTCAAACAATGTTTTAGCTACAAATAGACAATTTCTTGTATCAATACCTGTTAATGTTAATACTGATCGTCAAGAGAAAAGAATTAATATCTCTGAAGACAGTGATAACAGTTACTCGGAGGAGCAAGATTCATGTGAAAACTTAAATATAGCTTCTCCAGAGAAAACAACTTCCTGCGGACGTTCAGTAAAACCACCAAAGCGATTAAATTTATAATTGTATACAAAATAAGTTGTTCGGCTGGATGATTTATTTTATTCTCTTTATTTTTGTAGTTTAGATTAGAATTGTGTTGTTGAAAAAAAAAAAAAACGACGGGATGTAATATATGGTATGTATTATCACTAAAATATGTCTAAGCGGTTGGCAACAATGTCAATTATGATAGGAGGAAATAAAGACAAGAGGTCACTTCTCGTCGAGCCGCTGAGCTGTATGTTGTTACGGTTTCACCGCAACAATATTTTCAAATCAGAAAGTCTAATTAAAATAAATAAGTAACTTACTTAAATTAAAAAGCAAACCATATTTACAAACTTTATTTACAACTTCAGTCATTCCATACTCTCAGTTCCTGATATAAATAAGTAGATAATTGATTTGTTTACAAAAATTGTTTGTACATTGTTATATAGGTTAGGTAGTTCCAATCTGCTATGTCAACCTAAGTACTTCTTCTTTTATTTTAGTCCTTGGGTATCTTAAGTAATTTCACTTATTGGAAGGTGACTAATTGTCTTAAATGGTATAAGCTTTTGGTCTGGGAGAGGAACTTCTAGAAGCTTGATTTTTTCCTCTAGTTTTTGTGGAAATTGTTTTTTTTTGGGTATATCTTGTGCTGGTTGCAGTTATCGTTTTACGGATTTTATACTCTGAAACAAAAATAAACTGGTTAAATTTGAGTTACTAGTTTTCTGTTGAAAATTTGCACTATAAGTGGATTTCCCGTAATTCAATTTAAACCTTTGAATTTCCCAAGGCCGATCCCCAACTTCGGTAAGTACCTCGTGAAATGTACAATACCCTATACCTATTTTACATTCTGTTTCTTTATTTTTAGTCCTTTTTCTTTTTCTCCTACTCTTATTCTACGCTTTTACTCTTCGTTCTATTTTCTTAGACGTACTTATATTGAAAAAAAACTACTTAACTGATTATAAGTAACACTCAAGGTGACGTTGCTGGCACATCAGATAGAATTCAAGATCTTAATGCATGCTGCTTGTTGCTTACCGCAGTCCTCCAGCGCTGTTGATGCTATTTCCTACATGTTGCTTATTTGCTATTCGTCCTATTTTACCAGCTCGGTTTCGTTCGCTAGAGCCTGCCTGCTGTTTAGTGCCTGCATCTTGAGCCTGGATATTGATTGCAAGTAAGAATTTTCCAGTTTTATTGAATCTTTGTTACTGGTGGTTGAGCTGAAACGAAAATAATTCATCATTAAACTGTTTGTGTGATAATAATTGTACCTAAAATTTATGTAGTGTAAATATATTAACTTACGCTTCTGTGTGAACCAATTGGTCCAATTGGGGCAACCCTCGGTACTGGGTATCCCTTGTATATAAAATTAATGTCACCAAATATCACGATAAGCTAGAAACTAACCAGACAGATTGTCTATCCAATAAATGTATGCACCGCAAGTTTTGTTTTAATTGGGTGCATGAACCCCTTTTCGCTCTCGTAACAAATAGCTAGCCCAGAATACATAAGTATAGAATACAAACTTGTAATATACAAAGGGCTGTAACAATGTCGTTGTTTTATTTACGAACCTCACCTATCACATCACACAGGGTGTGTGACGAAGTCACTAAATTTTGCTCTCAATTAATTTTAAAAATGTATATTTCAATTAATTCCCGCCTGAGGACATGCAGAAGATCTCCCGTATTTCTGTTTCCCAGGAATTACCGTTTTCAACAATTGCGAGTACCCTCGTAGATTAAAATGTTTGCCGAAATCCTATTGGGCATTTTGTAGAGTCGATTTAGGACCCATTATCTACCTTTATTTGTCAAGGTACTAGAAGGACATTTTTTTACTTTTAAATTGTAAACAGTCGGCTGTAGTAGTGGTATCCCCCACTCAGTTTTACCGAAAAGCATAAATTCAATCACATCTGGGAATTACACTCTCTTGATTGCCGGCCGCCGTAAGCTCTTCTCTCTTGATTGCCGATAGCCGAAAACTATTCGCCCTTCTACAGTGCCTAGTGAAATACTCCGTGAGTGCCGCGATTTCGAAAGATCATTGAATAGCCCCGTTTATTTTCTAAGGTAGGAAACCGAATATTATTTTTTATTTAATTTTATATAATTAGTTGGGACACCTACCCGTACGACAAGTAAAGAATTTTGATTCATATCCAGGATATTTAATTTCATCCCTCAGTGGGAAACCGTTGGCAATTTTTATTTGAGACTGGACATAGGCTAGACTCTGAGTGCTCTCATTGTCAACGATTATATCCAATTTTTCTTAGAAACCGCCCAGTTAATATGGAAGTGAGAGATTCAACCTGTATTCAATTTTTTTTATTATTTTATTATTTTATTTTCTTTTTCGGAGGTTCAATCCGTTCCCGGATTAGAGTGATCTCTCTCTCCTGACAACGTTATCTAATTTCCCACTTCATGTAAATTTCTTTTCTTTTATTTTTTTATTCAGCTGTATTTGAATCATTCCGTTCCCCGTCCACAATTAGGTATTGAACGAAGCCAGACGACTTCTGTAAAATTAAATTTACACACGCTCTCGATCGGCAAATAAATGAAGTCTATTAAAATATGTATGTATGCTTTTAAAATGTATAAGTTTGGTCAGTACCTCGTTTATAGACCACTATGTATATTTAAGAATATTTATTAAAAATGGTCATACAACTTTTATATTAATTTTTTTCGTATTTCCAATAATAAAACAACTATCAATGAATTATGCACTGATGGGACACCCTGTATGTGTTATTTGATAACATGTTGGTATTGATGACAAGGTAAATTTATAAAGAATTTTGTGCCTAAATAACATATAGTATGTTGCATTCGAAAAAAATTAAGTTAATTGAACTTAAAATTAGCCATATTTAAAACATGTTTCAAGACATTCTGTATAAAATAAACCAGTTATGTCATCTCTATTCGCTAGCTTAGTATCTTATAAAAAAAATTAAATCATTGTTAACCTAAATTATGTTAATTTATTTGGGATGTGCATCATTCTCTAATTTAAAAAAAAATTAATTACTTGGCAACACTGTAATAATTTTTAAAAACATTCCAAGTTTGAATACAGTATTACTAAACCATTCTAAAAATAAAATAAAATACAGGGTATTCTATTTAAACAAACATACATTTTTATTTGCCAGGCAAAAACGCAACATCCTGTTTATCCAAAAATATTTTTAAAATATGCATTTTTTTTAAATCCACATAACTTTTATTTAAAACCTGTTTGCGTGTAAAATATGCTGATACATTTTTTATACGTCCTTTCTTGGGGTGAAAATAAGAGAATTTCCTTTTAAATGGTGAAATATTCTCCAAATCACTAATCCCGTATATTATTAAATTGTTCAGTTTCAGAAGCAGAAGGAATAATTGTTGAAATCCTCTTAAATGGATTAGATGGTCTAGAAATAAGTACACTACTTTCTTCGATTAATGATACTGATCTATAACGATAAAAATGATAAAAGTTACAACTAATTAGGTACATTTTATTAAATAAGTTATTTACATTTTAATTTGCACCTTAGAAATATATGTACAAAATGATTTTTTTCACTACTAGCTTTAGAAGCTAACTTTATTGACTGATTTTCAGGTAGAAAAGTGGTTCATTATTAACCTATGGAGAGAATTACAGAGCCTACCTGATAACTATATACCTACTGTATTTTATGTAAATGATATCAGTTCATATTTTGACAGGTTTTTAGGTTAACTGAAATGCTCAAATGCAAATACAAAATGTAAAAATATTTTACTTGCTTATTTAATGATCATATCCATTATTCAAATAAAATCAATTCACTTTCAGATTGTGACTAACTCGACCACCAGCAAAAAAAAATTTCATTTAATTCTACGTATAAACTGTAAATTCTATAGGTACTAAACTGACATTTGTGTTTTACATTTAATAGTCACAAGCATGGATGATTTGATTTGAAAAAAAGTTTGAAATCGTTTTTATTAGTTTTAAAAACTTAATTTTTTTTTAATTAAAATGCTAGTAGTGAAAAAAATAGTATATGAGCCACGGTAGAGAAGTGAGTTATTTTGTCGAGGTCCATTAAAGACCTCGAAGCTCGAGGTCTTTAATGGACCTCGACAAAATAACTCACTTCTCTACCTTGGCGCATAATATACTATTATACTTTTATGAAACTTCAAAAGGTGCTGTAATGACCAGTATAAATATGCAAAATAAGCAGTGATATATAAATTATTAATTCCTATATTATAATATACCTTGAACTGTGTGATTGGCAAATTTCTGGTTTTTGATTTGCGTCATTCTTCAGATATCGGACTCCATTTAATAATTTAACACAGATTAAAATTTTATTGCCCTCAGTGTGACACTGGGACTCCTAGATTTTAATTGTTACCTATATATTTTAAACCTCATCTATGAAACGAAAGATTAGGATTTATACCTTATCTTTCAACTTATTTGTAGTTAAAATAAAAATTTTAATACATCTGATCGGCCTAATAAAAGTTTTCGTTTAAATTTAATCATATTTTCATGGTTTTTACTGTAATAAACCTTTTCTTTTGACATATAAGTCAGACTTTATTTACTCCTAGCCGTATCTTATGTATAATTTTACTCAAGAGTAGTGTACCTTTATTCGAAAATATTTGGGGAAATAAAGAAAAGTAATTTAAACGTATTTGTTAGATATATCAATAATTTTGTTGCACAAATTCATAACCGAAACGACTAGATGCTTGAATTTTATCAAATCCTATTTTTTATATTTAATAAGTTTAAATAGTATTTATTTATTCATTAAAGGTCCTCAGTGAGCGAAGCTTACGCAAACCATAGAGTCTCCGTTTTCGGCCGTATCTTCAACCCTTAGGGAAAATTATAAATATTGGTCCTACAGTTCCGGGTTATAAAACTTTTTTGTGGAAATTTTCTCTTCTTGTTGAATCATTTTTTCAATTTGAAAAATGTCATATAGTTTTTGA